GCGGGGGCGGGAAACTCTTTTATGAAAATACAATGACGACGAGGAGGAGGAAGAGGAAGAGGAGGAGGAGGAGGAGGGGGGGGGGAGGAGGAGGAGGAGAAGTAAAAACCCATTGGCAAGAGATGTCTTTTTTCTCTTTGGACGCAGAAAAATAACCATAAATATGCACTCTACTTTTTTCGCTCTTTGGTCTTACACTAAATGAATATAAAGATTACGGGTAACGATTTAAAAACAGTACTTTTATTCTTTTTCATCAGATACGGACGCCATGCCTGCCTCATCGGCAGTTCCAGCATGACAAGCCGTGACGTCACCAAAATGGTGACATCAAGCACCGATGATACCATGGTTACGGAAACCGTCCAAAGTACTGACGTCATTTTGTCTCTAAACAAGAAGCAGAGATGGCAACTTCCAGCTACAATGCGTCACATGATTCGCACTGGCTGCTTCGGCCGAGGTGCTATGGTATCTGTCCTGGAAAGACACAAGCTCAAGAGACGAGCAAACTGTGTCAGTTTTGTCAGCAACAAGGGCAAGATCACCTCAGTGCAACCCACACAGAAGCGATACTTCTCCTTCAACTTGGATAATATTGACGAGGAACAATCCAATAGGCAAAAGAAGAGACAGTTGTCCAAAGCGATGAGCACGATGAGAAAGCCAAGGGAAATTAAAGACAAACGTTCTCATTGGAAAACAATCCAGGTTTTCACAAAGACAGGAGACGACACAGAAAATGAAGATGCAAAAAATATATTGTCTAGCAGTAAACCAGAATACAGAATGGAAATATTTTATCCGTGTCCAAAGACTTGCTCATTGGCCTTCAACCCCAAGTACACTGACGTCATGATCGATGTCAACGAGGAGGGTAAGCAAGAGATTAAAGCAGTGAAAAATCCAGGCAGCAAAAAGCCCAGACGGCGTCACAGGAAAAGACTGACCACGTCTACATGGGCCAAGATGGGAACAGACGAAATTGAAGAAGACATTAACCAGATGTGGGACGAGGTGTATCGAGAAAACTGTTTTCCCCTCGTTAGCTCTGGGGTCACAGCGGAGGAGAAGGCAGAAACTGATACCGACACGTTCAAAACACAGAATTCAGATGTTCGTTCTGAACGTAATGGCAACAACAATGAAAATCTTTGGTCTTCCCTGATTACCCAAGCTGAAAAAGCAAAAGAGCTCTGCACTCAGAGAATTAGCATTGCCCGGGAAAATTCGGCCAGAATATCGACACAGACGTCGTTTGGCAAGGAAGACTTGAAATCACACATAAAGGTATTACCAGACTCTAATGAATTCAGACTAACAGCAACGCAGAAGAATCACATCAAAGAACAACAGCCCGCAGAACAAACGGAAACGAAGAGAATCCCTCAGTATGTAGACTTGTCTTATTTCAGAATCATCGCTTCTTCCAAAGAAATGTGTCCCGAAGAGCTCAAGAATAAGTTCGGACATCTGTATGCAGAGGCTGAATGCCAACCACGCACATTTGTAATAAATGTAAGTGACAATGTAAAAAACATTCTCTGTTCTTCTCCTTTCGAGAATTTTGCTTTCACTTCCTATCTCCTATTTACCTACGATGGTCCCTACGACGATGGACTTGACATATACAAAGTGGCATTTAACTCGTTTGTCTGCAGAAGCACAGAGCACATGCAGAAAAACATACCTTTCCGCACATTCTGCATTGATGACCTTATTAATCAAATATTTGAAATTCTCCTGGACCTGAAAAGTGAGCATCTTTTAGAATTTCAGAAAGCAAGATACAGAAACGAAAGTGCAAATAATTATTTATTTCGATTCGTCAACGACAAATTTCAGGTGAAAGCGGAAAGCTTCTACCCCAGCCAAGAGATCAGCAAACTTCGTTTTACAGAACTGGAGCAGAACACAGACTTATTCTCCATGACCTTGAGTCAGCTAGGGTCCTCTGGGGAAGACTACGACATTTTCTGTCAGATTTGTTACGAGAGTGTGACTCCAAGTCACGTGGACAGTCTCCCAGGTACTGCTTTGACCAAATGCGGTCACGTCTTCTGCAACGAGTGTTGGAAAACTCACATTCGAACCAGAATGACAGATGGAGCGGTCAAAATCTTGTGTCCCGGATATGACTGTGATGTCACTGTAGGTCCAGTGACTCTCCTTTCTCTCATTCACTCTTCAGAAGTTGCTCAGCTGCTACAGCGACAGAAAGAGGATGAAGTGGAGACATCGGAGAACTCTAAGTGGTGCCCCAACCCGACGTGTGGCCGTGTTATCAAGATGGAGACCAAAGCCATAACCCCCGACATGACGTATGACGTCTCATGCGCTTGTGGATTCAACGTCTGTTTTGTTTGCCTCGGTTCTGCTCACTGGCCTGCACATTGTGAACAGGCTGACGATTACACAGGCAGATTGTACGACCTGTCGCTACCGAAAGAAGTGGAGGACGACCCGACGGAATCCTTGCCCCTTAAGGCTGTTCAACCCATGCCTAAACAAGTGCCTGAAATTATGCACGTAGAAGGAAGACTGTGCCCAAAATGCAATAGGTTCATAGAAAAGAACGGCGGTTGTCCGCACATGTCTTGTAAATGTGGACATCACTTTTGCTGGAAATGTCTTGCTTCGATTTCTGGCCACAGTGTTTGCAAGCCGGACTACTCTTACCTGTATAAAATGACCAGGACAGTGCTTGTGAGGCATGTCGGAACCAGGGCTATGGCTCAACCCTTGGAAGTCAAAGCAACATCGGAGGAACCAAAGACGCCCCATGCCGGCATGGGCCGAGTGTCCATGTACCAGCGAGCACTACAACAAAGGCTCGAGGGAAATGTACACCTATCAACTAAGGAAATCAGATCTCTGGCCTACATGATTGCTACTGCAGCCTCTAAAGACGATGAATTGAAGAAAGACGTGAGTATTTCAATCTCAAATGTTAATTTAGCTCTCATAGTTTTACACTACACACACGGCTAGGAAAAACGTGTCTGTCTGTGCGTTTTTGGAAAACATTTTGCATTGACCCCTCTTCCTTTAGTGTTTGTTCTGCTTCTATTGTTTCAAACACTAAGGAAGAATATGTACCTGTGGACGGTTTAGTATAGATTGTGAAGCGCATAGAGCTTGCTGTTGAGCGGGGATTTGTGCTATACAAATGCTATCTATTATAGACTGAATCTGTTTTATTGTACCTAAAAATAATGAATGGTCAGTGCAGAAGATTGTGCGAGGATTTACATCAATTTTATAAAGAGGACAACAAAGACAGATTTGTCACAATGTAAAAGTTACACTCTGCTTTCCCTTTGAACTACTTCGAATTCCAAATATTTACGTTAATAAATGCATTGAGCTCAATTTGATCAAGATCTGCTACGAAGTGAAGTTACATCATACAAATAAAAATAGAGAAACAAACACATACCTGATTTATTTACTAAGCCAAATGTTTCATTCATGATTGAAAAAAACATTTTAAAACAACAGTTCTATATTTCTAGTATATGTATGATCTTTGTAATAAAATAATCTGTCGTCTTTTATTTTCAGCTTGCGACTATTCCCGGCCTGGACCAGAACAGCAGCATTGGTGACGCTGAATCCGTCTCCTCCACCACCAAGCACGTGACAAGGTTTCTCCAATCGTGTGAAGCCAGCAGACGCGCGCTACATCATGTGGCCGAGTTCACCTTCGTGTTGCTCCACGACGTTCCCCAGTCTGTGGACAAGCGCCGGGCTCTGGCCTTGGCCAACGACATCTCTGGCTATTGCAGCTTTCTCCGCTCCATCCTGGAGGGCGGTGAGCACCAGCAGCCTCGGACACTGGTCAAGCGATTGCTGGACATTCAGACGTGGGCCAGGAGAGCTGTGGGTGCACTGTTGAAAACTGCCAACAAGCTCAAAGCCTCTTAATAAACAATAAGCGCTCACAAGCAGATTTACTCACGTCTTTATGACGCATACACACACACATACACACACACACACACACACACACACACAAACAAACAAACACACACATACAAACACACACACGGTTGGCGCGCGCGCATGCACACATATAAACAGAGTCAAAAACACATATCACGAACACAGAAACACACCACACCCACCCACAAACACACACACACACTCATACATATACACACAGACGCGCTCACACACACAATATATATATATATACATATATATATATATATATATATATATATATATATATATATATATATATATATATATATATATATATTGATATATTGATATATCATGTATACACACAAGTGAATGAATGCTTTGTTTTTTTGTTTTGTTTTGGGTTTTTTTGTTTTTTTAAACCGCCATCGTATTTTGTGTTTTTATAAAGAATATGTCTTAACTTACTTACTTACTACCCATTACGCCATCTGGCGTTTAGGGCAGCAACAAAGGATCTCCAGCTCTGTCTGTTTTGGCCCATCTTGGTCAGCGTTCCTCACGATTGATTCCAGGACTTCATTTCAGACTCAACTGTCCGTTTCCAGATCACTTTGGGTCTGCCCCTTTTGCGACGTCCTTCGGGTGTCCAGTGGAGGGCAATCTTCACAGTAGAGTCTGGTTCTCTTCTAAGAACATGTCCAATCCCTCTGCACCTTCTACTTTTTATTATGGTGGTCATGTCCTCTTGCCTATTTTTACGTCTTAACACTCAACATTATATGCACTACGGTATAAACACTCATGCTCCAAAACATTTTTATGTATAATATGCACATGTGTACATATTGACCTATTGAATGTACATATTTTGAGGAATACTTTGAAAAATTATTATGTACATAAAGTACAACTTGTTGGGGAAACAAGACACAATAAAAATTAATTTGATATATTGAACATGCTTTTTTAAAGCTTTCTGTTATTTCCAATGCGTTATTGAACCCAGAATTTTTGAAGTGCCACGGCATACTTGTAATTGTTTGGTGGGTTTTTTTCAAATTATCCGAAACTCACACACTCACAAAGACATACACACACACACACACACACACACACACACACACACACACACACACACACATATATATATATATATATAGTTCTCTCTGAGATTCATATTATTTTATCTAGCGACATTTCGTGCCGCTGTGATGCAGGACTCAATCTGTTTTGGAGATTAACCCAGTGGATGTGTTTGTCTTGTCTCTGCGTTTTGAACTGAGGCCTACTTCTTCTTGATCTATCATTTTTCGTTCTAGACGCCCCAACACGCGCCCACTAACGTACGATACAATTTACTGTAGACGTTCAGGCTTTGAATCTCATCTGGCTATGTACCTCCAGGCTGGAGCATTTCTAACACTCGCATTCCATCATTTTATCACATACGTAAAATGATTTGGAAGCTGAAATATCGCTGTGTTTTATGCTTTTCGATACTAACAGACTTAAAGGATGTGTTCATAGACTCAAATTCTAAACAAGTGTAAATATATTTGTAATATAACGCAGTTGAACGAATTTAAAATCATAGAGATAAAAAATTGAGGGGTTTTTTTTACTTAAGCCTATTCAATGCTTACTTAAAATTGCCACCCAGTAGCAACCTCGGCGACAGCAGTAGGAACTACCACAATCAGACACTGGAACGTTGCCAGCGACTTCAGTTTCATCAGGAATCTGTGAGAAGAGAACAGGTATTGGCGTCGTGTAGGTTAAAGGTTGAAAGATGGCGTTTTGTTGTCTGTTCTCTCCACTCTAATCCAAGTATACGCAGTCTTTTCATTATGTAACGTCATGCAATTTGCAAATGAAGTGAGTAGGAGAGGGCGGTACATGTATCTGGCAGAACCCCACCTAAAGCATATTACCTAAAGTGGGAAATACTCTCTGAACAAAACAAAAATGGTATCATGTTCTCGAAAGATGCTTCGTATTGGGAGACAAAATGCTCGAAAGCGCAATTGTAAATAAATGGTAGAGAAGAAGTGCTTGAAAGATAAACAATACTCTTCTCCCCTGAATGGAGAAACAAGACCAAAAAAAGACCCAAAAAATGTAATAAAATAAAATAAAATAAATAAAATAAAATATAACAAGATAGCATTAAATAAATAAAATAAGATAAAATAAAAGCGCTGACTAACAAACAAACAATTAAAACTCACCACCCCAAACAAAACAATACGATAAAACAAAACAAAAAATTATACAAAACAAAACAAAAATACAAAAACACGAACAAAGCCTACAAAAAAAACGAAACGAGACAAGACAAAACAAAACAAAACAAAGCAAAAATAAAAACAAAAACAATACTAGAAATCATCATCATCCAGTGCCAGATCTGCGACAGACATCGGAGATCATGGTTTTTCCATTCATCCCTTTGCTCGGATGCTCTCAAAAAGCTACATTTCCCTGATCTTTCCCTGTTACCCATTTGTTTAGGTTCCCTAAGTATGCTGTTCTTGGCCTACCCCTGCCTCGCTTGCCTTCAATTTTGCCAGTGAAAGCTAGATGTAAGACCCTTAAGTCTATTCAGGTGTCCCAAAAACTGCATTTGTCGTTTTCTGATTGTTTTTAACATTGAGCGTCCCACGTGGGCTTCATCAAGCACTAAGTCATTTGATTTCTTTTCCTTCCACGATACTCTTAGCAGTACTAGAAATAGAAGAAAGAATTCATTTTGTTTCTATTCTTCACTCTGGCTGCGACGGACATAATAATTAAAATCGTGTTTTCATCTGAGACCTTTGATTGGGTGCACTTGACCACGTGACTAGTCATGTGAACGCTGTTTGTCCGGGTTTATTTCGTCAACTGATACCTGTATGGCATTAAAAAAAACAAAAATGATTGCATGTGTTATGGTGGTTGACCATGGTTTATCCTATTTGTGAAATTGCCAGTTGTAATGGCTCGTTAAAACTCATAATTACAACTTGATAATTTTACTCGTAGGATAAATCATGAACTACAAAACCATAATACATGCAATATTTTCTCTACTGAGTTTTACCCTTTTTTACTCATCGTTTTAGACGTGTCAATACCCATTTTACACTTTTCAGAACTCTTTTCAATACCCATTTTACACGTTTCAGTACTCTTTTCAATGCTGATGTTACACTTTTCTGCTCCTAATTTTGTTGTTTTTTCCATCGACTCGTATTAATTTTTCTCACTACTTCTATTGTTGACTTTTCCAGGTGCAAATCATAGCAGCATTTGTGTGTGTATGTGTGTGTGTGTGTATGTGTGTGTGTGTGTGTATTCTGTGTGTGTGTGTATTCTGTGTGTGTGTGTGTGTGTGTGTGTGTGTGTGTGTGTGTGTGTGTGCTTCTGTGTGGATGTTTGTGTGTGTGAATGTGAT